CGGTTAAATCTCATTGTTATCAAAACCTAGGTTTTTTATCTACACTCATAAATTCCACAAATTTACATATTAAAATGTACCCATAATCTTTGTATTAAACTCACATTAGGTAGAAATTAATTACCATCAATAGCTAGGCTGAAATTCTCTTTTTTGAAGCTCCAAAATAGCCTAAGAGTGCAATAAATGAGACCAAAAATGGCTAAGTCCCGAGTTTTAAAACTCTCTACCCAGCTGCCCTCTTTTCTCGAACACGGAAGATGCCTCGCGTTCGCGAAGGAAAACGGCCTAGGCCCCAGAATAGACTCATCGCGAACGCGACAGAGCCTCGCGAACACGGAGGCTGGCTTGGCCTACCCTTCGCGAACGCGAGGGCTCCTTCACGAACGCGAAGAATAACAGCGGCCCAGCCCAGCCTAGGCTCCTCTATGCGAACACGAGTCACCTCACACGAAGGTCATAGGTCCTTGACCTTCGCGAACGCTAGCTGCCTATCACGGATGCGTAGAATAGAACCCCCACNTCCTCAGCTTGGCTCCGGGTGGTCCAAAACACACTCGAACCCCTCGGGCCCTGTCCAACTATACCAACAAGTCTATAAATATAATACAGACCTTCTCGAACTCTCGAAACGCGTAAAACAACAACAAAACCAAGATCACACCCCGAAACCAAATTGAATCAAGTTATGAACTTCAAGTTTCCAAATCGCTCTGAACGCGCCGAATCATACTTAGACTATTCGGAATGACACCAAATTTTGCGTGCAAGTCTTAAATTATCATACGGAACTATTTTCAATTTCAGAATCCCAATTGGACTTCGATAGCACCAAAACCTACTCCAAATCAAATTTAACGAACTTTAAAACCTTTAAAGAGCCAACTTTCACTATTAGGCGCTGAAACACTCTTGGATCATCCAAAACCCGTTCCGAACATACGCTCAAGTCCGAAATCATCATACGAACCCATCTATACCGTCAAATACCGATTCCGAGGTTGTTTACTCAAAACGTTGACCAAAGTCAAACTTGTCCCCTTTTGCCAACTTTAAGGTACCAAGTATTCCGATTTCAACCTTAACCCTTCCAAATCCCGAACTAACCATCCTCGCAAGTTATAAAATAGTAAAAGTACGTAGGGAACATGGTTCTAGAAAGTAAACGACCGAGTTACAAAAGTACAGGCTATTCACATCGACTTCTTCTGTCTCATCCGATAGGTTTGAATTAGCAGCAGCCACCACAACCTCCATTTTTTCCTGCATTCAATTATTAGAATAAAAAAGATTAACCTAAATAAAGAATGTGATAAATTCTCTCCTACATCAAAACTGCCAAAGTTTTGACTAGAGCAAATGTAATATATAGCAGAAATTATAATCAACGGTGACAAAACAAATATAGTAGCTCTTGAATGACCCAAAGATCCATCCGCCATTCAACTACTAAAAGGGGAGGAAGAATAAAAAATTTCAAATCCATGATACTTAATCCACTGTTCTAAACTTTGTTTCACAAAATTTGACATAGAAATGAATCAAAATGAACTACAATATATACCAAAAGATATATGAGTTGATCATATGTCAGTTGCTTTTCCAAAATACAACTATTTTTAACCTTTTCAATTTAAAGATAAACAATGGAAAGATGAATCTTAAGTCAGCTAAGAGCAAGTCATGAAGCACACTTGTTATGACCTTATACTCACTTTTTCTCATACAACAAGTAAAGTAGTATTCTAAACATCAATCTTCTTCGGATTAGTAGTACAGAAAAATATAACTTTTTGCTATAATAAAGTTTCTTTATTAAGAATCCACAGAAGTTAATATTTGTAGGAGTTTTCCCTTAGTTTATTTCTTTTCGTTACTCTGTAGCTCCACCTGGGCTGCATATGCCCTTATCCGGTTTGATATTTACATTCTGGTAATTATTGCTCCACAGCCTTCTCACCTTCAACTTTGTTTCTTGTTCATTTCTTAAAATTCAGTTATTTGCCCAGATATCATCTATAATTGGAATGTTGCTCGGCCTCAATCAATTACTGCTCTATGCTATGTATTACAAGTCTACGAAGAGACAAATAGCAGAAAGAAAAGCTCTGGGAGGACAAGAGCTGACTGAGAGGAGTACAAGCAATAATTGTACCTCTACTTAACTTAGATTGAGGCCATTCTGTCGTAAAATTGTGCTTTTAGCTTAGAATTAGGTAATAAAATTTTGCTTTAACTTACATATGAAATGTACTCTTGTAGCATCATCCAGCATCATGAAACTTATTTGATGTGCCCATACCACATTCAGAGCCCGTTTGGATTGGCTTAAAAGAAGTGACTTTTAAGTACAAGTGCTTAAAAACACTTTTTAAGTGCTGAAGCTGATTTTATAAATAAGCAGTTACGTGTTTGGATAAAAGCATTGGAGTCAGGAAAAAAACTATTGAAGTGATTAGTAAACAAGTGTTAGTAAGCATTTTTATTAAAATTACTGAAATATCCTTAAAGTTGTTAACCCTATAAAGAAGTTTATTTCTATAATATTTTATTCAAAATAATATAAATACATAATAATTAATATTTTAATTCACTTTCAATTTAAAAAACTAAAAGTAGTATAAAGAAAGCAAACGAAATTAAGCCAATTTCCGTATGAAGAAAGCAAACGAAAATAATAATTAATATTTTAAACAAAATTAGTAAAAAACAAAAAATGAGAAGCAAACAAATCGTTACTTGATAACACGGTAATCACATAGACTAAAGTAAAGGTCCTTTTTAGAGGAGAAAACCAGTTGACAGATTAGGGGTGTGCATTCGAATCGGTTTATCGATAAATCGAATCGATTATTTGTTATCGGTTTATCGATTTATCGATTTCGATTTCAAAATTTTCCTTATCGAGTTATCGATTTCAATTTTGTCCTCTTCGGTTATCGGTTTATCGATAAACTGATAAGATATACTAAAAAGACAAATATACCCTTATTCTATAATATATTTTCCTTTACCCTAAGTCCCTAACCCTATTATTTCCTCTACCCATTCTTCAGCGTCGCTTTTACCTTTCTCCCTCTCTCCCGCGAACTGCAAACCCAGTAGAGAAAGTGAACTTCGGCGAACTCCGGCGTACTCTGGCGACTTCAATAGTACGTTTCTCCCTCTCTCTCTCCGTGCCTTTGTTACAATTTCAAGCATCAGCAGATTTCACCTCCATATCCATTTCAAGAGACCTTCCCTCTCTGTCATTGACTTCTTCAGGTACAATTTTTTCTCTGTCATTCACCTCCGTATCCATTTCACCTGCATTCGTCGCTTTTTTTATACCGTTGGAGTGTTGCTGACATACATTTGATCCCTTACTTTAGTTTCGTTGCATGGGCTTGTTGACACAATTTTTATGTTATAAATGGTGTTCGTTTTATTTTAGCTTCCTTTTGTCCATATTAATTAGGCGTGTTTATAGCGATATACTTTCCGTGGAATCCCGCAAATTTTTTTATTGGTGTAATTGATAAGCCTCAAAATCGATAAATCGAAATCGAAAAAATCGAAACCTTATTGAAACGATAACGATAAGCATATGTACAAATCGATAATCGATAAGTAATTATCGATAAGGGGCAAAATTGAATCGATAAATCGAATGCACACCCTAGTTGAGAGTCAAATTTAGAGATAATATAATAATCAGACGGCAAAAACTTTTCTCAAATTGTGTCTGATTCGAAGCAGACTTAAATCCTTTTGAGATAGCAGACGAAATAGCTACATCTTTTGGCGAAGTGAAAAAGATAATATCAGATACACGACCTTCTGGTAGCAAACCAAAGAGCAGAATGGGAAAGAAAAAGAGTAAAATGAAGAAAGTAGATGCTGCAATTTCGGGAGGAAAAAGACAGCAGAGGCTGCAATTTCAAGTTTTGTATTGAGGTGTAATTCGAGATTAGGAAAAATTATAAGGGATAAGAATATAATATTCTTGGTCAGAGCAATATGGCTTTTACGCCAATATAGAAAAAGATAGGTTAAAAACAAGTTGAGTAACACTTTCAAAAAGTTAAAAAGTGCTTAAAAGAGTAAGGACTTAAAAGGCATGTATGGACACAGACAACTTAATTCGCATACATACATAGTATCTCCAAGCCTAGTACTTCAACTTAAAAGGCATGTATGGACATATACAACTCAATTCGCATGCATGCATACATACATAGTATTTAAAGGGCATCGCTCGATAAGTAACTTACCGAACAAAACACATTTGTTCCTTCCAATTCTTACTGAAGCTGTAGTTATTTAGCAGTATAATTCACCTTTTCTTTTTTCATATAAACTCCCGATGTCATGTGAAAAATAAACCTATACAATACAAGGAACTCACTTGAGCGCTCGTAGATTTAGCATCAAGCACCAAAAGCGGATTTCTCTTTTGGGCTACGACGCCCCAAGCACCAAAAGCGCGCGTACCATGTGTACTTGTATCATGCCTTGTAAAGCATTTTACTTTCCTCTCTCATTCTGTTGTAGTATTTGCTTAAGGTGACATGCACCCCTTTTTCACAAGTCTGTCAGTCCTGCTTGACTGCCCGAAATCTTGATCCATTCTTGGCCAAATTGATATTTTATGATATTTAATGGTAGTTGAGTGAATTTTTATGTTACAGATATTAGTTGATGATTTTCCTGCAATTTGTACTATAAGGTCGATTATCTTCTGTGTAATTAATCCTAGATTTTAAAGAAGTTATTCCAGCAAATCATTTTTTGGCCAAGTTGATATTCTAGGATAATTAATCATAGTTTAGTGATTCCTTTTTGTTATAAATATTATTTTGATGATTCTTATGCAATTAGACTACAAGTTCGATGATCTTCTGTTAATTAATGATGGAGTTTAAAGATGGTTTCACCACAAGATTAAGACTGGAAGACAAAATCAACATATATAGGGTATTTTCATCCAACAAATTTGGGCCAAAAGCCCAAATCTTCAAGAAAATTTTCATAATGCTTACATATATACACAAGCATAAAGATAATAATCTTTTCTAATACACCCTTAGAAGGGTTTGATTTCACTCTAACACACTCATTAGCAGTATCTAATCATCACCTTTGCTCTCATAAGAAAAAAATTATATAGAGGCAAAAGGACACGAAACTTTGAACTTAAAATAGGCAAAAGTCATCTAACATGGCCACATGGGATCATTGAAGCCATTGTTGGACTGGTCTACATCCAAATCCATATGGAAATATCCTTTGGGCTGATGAGAGCCCATTATGTGGGAAGAGGGAGACCCACTATTTGTTGGGCTATTGGTAATGCCTGCAGATTGTCTTAGCCTTAAATGGACCACCTCAGCTTGGGCCATAGCTAGTTGGGTCCGAAGCATATCGATCTGTTGTTGAAGAGATGAAATGGCTCCAACACATCCGTATACTGGATCTCTAACTCTAGCATTTGCTTCATACACCATGCTACTCACTGCATCTCCTCTCTTGTGCTCTGGCAATTCCTGCATTTGACTTTACGTTGATTAACTCAATCCGAATTTCACTAGAAATGTGGGCGAAGTGCAGCAATAGCCACTTTCAAGCCCGCTATTTAAAATATATCCACAATTTATAATGTATTTAAAGATTAGTCAATTTACCCAAACTTCAGCACTAAGCATTCTGAATTTGGAAATTCAGGACTCAGTGTCATGAATTTTTGAGCTGCTAATTTGAAATTCAGGAATAAGTGTCATCAATTTCTGAACTTCTAATTTAAAATTCAGAACATAAGATTCGAACTTCTGGATACAATTTTTGAACTTTAGGACATGATGTCTTGAAGTTTGAACGCTGACGTTTAAACTCTAGGATGCCATGTCCTGAAGTTTGAGCGAAATGGTTAGTCTTTAAATATATTGTAAACTGTGAATATATTTGAAACAACATGCTTAAAAGTGGCTACCTGATATCATTTCCGCAATTTAGACCATAAAATTACATAACACCAGGCCGGCTCAATGGTGAATTTAACGATTTACCTAACCGAGATATATATATAATTTTAAATTTAAGTGGTTAGATGGGCGAATATTTGGTTAATACTTCTTAAACATTATTGGAGGTAGAATACTTATAGGCTTACTAATAAGACTGGCAGGCTAATTAATGGGCCTGGGTTGTACCATGAGGACCTAAGAGGTGCAAGAGTATGTCATATTGACATCAATTTTGTGTCATAAAATTTTCTGAGAATAACAACTAATGGGCGTGTTAGTCAAAAAGGATGAAAAGAAAAAAGAAAAAGAGAAGTCGTCACCCTTTTCTGAGGTCAACCCAGAGGAGTCTTTAATTATGTCTGAGAGGAGATTTTCTAATATCTAAAAATCTCTTTTTGTGGGCGAAAGAAGAAGGAAATGTGTTGCTTTCTTGAGGTTAGTTGATTATTTTGGCCTTTAATAGTTAAAATAGGAGACCAATTAACAACCCAAGAAATTTTATGAGAAATGCCGACAGGAAAAGCTTCACGTGTCCACCTTGAGAAGTTAAGTTCTATAAGTATACATATTATGATAGTGACCATAATCACATATTGAATGAATAAGATGACTTTCAAATCCTTCACAATAAATAAATAAATAGATAAATTTCAGGAAAAAAGAACAGTTGCTAATCCTTATTTAATAGTCAAAATTTCTTGGATTATGTGTGGGACCATAAACATAGACTACTAAAATACTTTTCACTGTTGACACATATGAAACGGTTTTCAACTAACAAACGTAGCACTTTGTTTCCCGTCGAACGCCCCCACAAATAGAAGAAAATGGTAATGGATCATGTAGTTTAATTACATGTCTTTTCGATTAATTTTTGGGGACTAAGTCAAAAAAATTAACTTGAAAATCTGAGCAAAAGAAGTGGTCAAAAAAGTTCCCCTCCAGGTACATTTTGATGATTGTTGTCTCCCTATATATACTCTTTTTAGCAAAGTTTTTCCCTTGCAATATAAGGTAGTTCATTAATTAACTAAAGCCTCATTCTTTATATAAAGTACTTCTTGCTTCTTCTCTTTCCACTGCCCAAATAGGGTTTGGAAAAGTTGAAACTTGAAAAATAAAAGGTCGTATATATATTTTAAACTTAAATGAAGAAGCCACTTCAAAAAGATTATAACAAAAGAAAATTAAGTATGACCAGATTACTTTAAAATGGGAGAATTTTAACTTGAAAAGAAATAGTAGAATTAAGTAGTACATTGGTTTCCTTATGTGAATGTTTAGACTTTAGAGACAAACCATGAAGATTATAGATAATAAATTTGGCACATTTGATCAGATCAAGAGGGACAAATATGGTTAGAATTAATTTCTACTTCTTATACCGTGCATTTTAAGAAATACTCCAATGTTGTGTTTGTTAGTTGAAAACCTATTGTAAGCGAATTAGGATTTAGGGTCAACAAAAAATAGACTTATCCTATACTTGAAAAAAATGAATTAGCATAGTTCAGAAGAAAAAAACTTGTATATTCGTCTCTGTTATATTATATTTACTCCTACTTTTGGATTTTGTTGCATGTGGTCACACGTTAAAATACATTATCTTTTCTGTATTATCATGTTCAGACCAAGTGCATATAACTTCTGTGTGCAATATTAATTAAACGAGTCTTTAGATCCATCTCATGTAGACTAGTTATACTTCATATAATGCAAAATCGTGTTAAAACAGTATTTTAACTGGAAAAAACAGGGGCATTATGATATTTCAGACGCTAAAATTTAAACAGGTTTACACCCTTCCACACCCAAAAACCAAAAAGAAAAAAAAGGAGTTAAATTGGGAAGATATATTGTGCATGAAGAAGCATGTAAGTAGAGATCAAGATCTTCCATTTTATTCTGAAAAATCTTTTTATATTTAAAAAAAACATAAACGAAAAGAAAAAGTAAGTGGGAAAATAAAAGAAGAAATTAAAGTGGAATTACGTACGTACCTGTAACATCTTGCTGACATTACTAGCACCAAAGACCTTATGAACATTGGCAAACTTGTGGGGTTCATCAGCTGGGAAATAAGGTGCAAATACACAGTCTTCACCACATCTTCTTCTCAATAGCTTGCAACCTGCACATGGTGAGTTGCTATTCTTCCCACAATCCTTCATTATCTTGATGATCGATGGCGATACCCTTTCGTTTAGTTTAATACTAGAGGTATAAAGGTTAATGAAAGAACTAGGTTGGGTTTGTTGTGTGTATATATAGAAAAAGAATAAAAGAGAATTGGTAACTAGGAAAATCTAGACAAAAGTGTGGGAGTGGAAAAGGGCAGGATATATTTTTTATGCACTTTAAAGGGAACGTAACAATGCAAGTTGATGAGCGTTTACTTTAATTTACAATAGAATAGCCTGCCTTATATAAAACAAATTACCCTTTATTATTTATATAGATGAATCAAAACAGTCCATCATTCCAGGGTTTTTACTTTTTAGTAATGAAATGTATTCGCTTTTAACACTTCTCTTCTTCTTCTTCAATTTTTTTCTTTCTATATATATATAAGATTATTTTATATGCATATATATGAAAAATTAAAGTTTAATCTATTCTATCTGGACTAAATTTACAAAAAAATATAATTTCTAAAGTCACTAATGTCTTTAACAACCGCGCGAAGCGCGATAATTCACTAATTTATCATATATCAGGGTGGAATTAGAATAGAACATTATATATATGGTAAGAGACAATTCTTATAATCCGCTTATACGCAATTCTTTTGAAGGTGATATTGAGGCGGTTGGGGGAGAGAAAGATGAGGGCCCCACTGTTGGAAGTGTGCAGATTTTGGTCTAACTAAAGCAATTTCTCCTGATAAGACAACTTTTGGCGCCATACTAACTTTTTTCCCCTTTTCTTTTTCGTTTGAATTGTTAACAATCTAGTACGCTCATTTTGATTATTTATTGGATTGAGCGTAAATATCGATTTTGTTATAAAATAAAGACTTTAAAGTAAAGAAATCAAAGATAAGTAGAGAGAGATTTATTACTCAACTTCAAATTCATGTGCATAATGAATTGAAACCTCCTTTATTTATAGAAGAAAGGAAGCTGTTGTGTAAGTTGCTACTGCAAGCTGCTACTGCAAGCTGCTGTGTAAGTTGCTACTGTACCCGATATAGATAATCTTTTGTCGGGGGTAATATTTATCCATAACGGAGTACCGAAATGATAAGCTTCTTCAACTTATTTTCAATAGAGTACTAAACAGATAACCATATTTACGGCGGAGTGTCATATGGATAAACTTCTTCAGGAAGCTTATTTACAATGGAGTACTAAATGAACATCCATAATATAATATATATTTATAACACTCCCCCTTGGATGTTCACTAAAAGATAATGTGCCTCATTAAAACTTTACTAGGAAAAACCCTGTGAGAAAAAATTCTAGTGAAGGAAAAAGAGTACACATATTTAGTAATACGCATTGCCAGGTGCCTCATTAAAAACCTTATAAGGAAAACCCCGTGGGAAAAAACCTTAGTAAGGAAAAAAGAGTGCATCGCGTATTTTACTCCCCCTGATGAAAACCTTGTTTCAAATATTCAAGTCTCCGCATTCCAATCTTGTAGACCATCGCCTCAAAAGTTGAATTTGTAGAGAATATTATCCACCACTATTTCAGATCGATTTAAATTAATCTCATCAAAACTAAGAAGCTGCTACAAGTCATTTCATTGAGTTGTTTGCAACCTGTCTATATCAGCTGCATGCTTGTAGAAAACTTCAATGGAGTACTAAATGGGAAGATTATCTACAACGGAGTAATAAATGGACATCCACAAAAATATTTTCAAAATACTCCTCCTTGGATATTCATTATTATGTACCTCGTTAAAACTTTACTAGGAAAAATTTCGTGGGAAAAAATCCTAGTCAACGAAAAAGAGTACACCAATAATATACATTGCAAGCAGCCTCATTAAAAACCTTACCAGGAAAAACCCAGTGGAAAAAAATTCGAGCAAGGGAAAACGAGCACAGTGCAGAGACTTGGGTATATTTGGACCAAGGAGTTCATCATTCTCTTCTGGAGGTAAGAACGGATCCTTAATCCGTGTAGGAGAAGAACTATATCTTGCTAGTAAATTAACAGAAAATGATATGTCAGGCATTGTAGCATTAGCACGATACATTAGTGCACCAATTGCACTGAGATATGGTACTTCGGGACCAAGGAGTTCCTCATCCTCTTCCGGAGGTCAGAACAAATCCTTATCCACTTCAAGTGATCGAACAACCATTGGTGTACTCAATGGGTGCGCTTTGTCCATGTAAAAGTGTTTTAAGACCCTTGCTGTATAGGTAGATTGATGGATAAAGATCCCGTATGCTAAATGTTCAATTTGCAGACCAAGACAAAGTTTTGCCTTTCCAAGATCTTTCATCACAAATTCTTTCTTAAGATATTCAGTTGCTTTTTGGAGCTCTTCTGGAGTTTCAACAAGATTTATGTCATCAACATAAACAGCAAGTATATCAAATTCTGAATACATGGACAAATAACATTATATATGTAACTTTCTTTCAGCAAATATTCACTGAGGCGATAATACCACATACGCCCAGATTGCTTTAAACCGTACAAAAATCTTTATAATTAGATCGAGTACATTTTCTGAGACTTTGAACTATATGCTTCAAGCATTTTAAATCCTTCAGGGATCTTTATAGGGATTTAATCAAATTAGTCATATAGGTTATGACTTGCATTTAAATGGCATGACATTTTCAGGTGTCTGAACTACAGGTCTGATCCTCACAATCTTTTACAATATTGTGCACTATATTGTATCAAATATATCGTCGACGATTAATTTGTATCGGTTCGCAAGCGACATAACTTGTTGAGATCTCATCACTTTCTTTATTTCAGGTACCTGAACTTCTTCTGGAGTTTCATGAAATGTTATGTCGTGGGCTCTTCTAGAAATCATTTCCTCCTCATTATGATTATTTTGATCATTAGCTCCTTATCTTTTTTCAAGGATTGTTACCTTTGGAACCGATTGGTCTACCACGCTTCATGCGTACAATAAACTCTATCCTTCAGGGACTTTAAATTTTAGTAGGAGCATTTGCAGCTGAAATATAATATTTATTTTTGGATCAGCAAATGCTTCTGGCATTTTACTTGAATTATCTTCTAAGTGAGGATCATATTAATGATAATTCGATTCATATAGCATATTTTTCAGGTGTATATTCCATCCCCCAAATGTTAGGAAAACTAACATATATCCCTAATCTTCTTTGGGAAACATATATTTGTGCATTGTGGTAGAGAAATTAATCATATACCACACATCAAAAGATAATAAAAATATTTGGTTTTTGATCCTAAACCAATTGTGAAGGGAGGACTTATCATATTGTTGGTCTGATGCATACAAGTGCTGCTATATGCAATTTAGAAAATCTTAGACCAACAC